TGCTTTTCCTCCCACAGGTCATGAGAGCAGGCATTCTGTGTGGTGTCTTTAAAGACACCTGTAATGCCTTAGAAACCCCATATTTCTCTGAAATACATTTCCTGGTTCTGTCCTTTGTCATCTAAGCTCACTAGAAATTTCTATCATGGATCCAGAGTCTCATACAAGGGGGTAATGCAATCCACTAGCCAGATTAGGCCCAGCTGTGTAGACACTGGTGATTGTTCTAGAAAGGAAAGATATTTGTATTGCTCTGATTTATTTTAAGCAGTCGTACAGCAACCATGTGAAATAATCATAAATACGGCTCAAAGGGGAGGGGAGTACCTACTCTGAACACGGTCCCTCTTTCCCACTTTGATATATTAATATTATTGTTTTCTATTGAGTTATCATTCCTGGTGGGTGTTGGTCTTATGCTCTAGGGAAGAAGCAGGATGAAGGAGACCACACTGCCCTGGGAATTAGGAAGCTGCATTTCTCATGCAGGCCCCGTCCTAACTAGCTCTGTGGCCCTGGGCAAGTCACTTGAAGCCTCCAAGCCGCTGCTGGATTTTGCCCTCTGTGAAAGTGATGTAAGAGCCACCTTGCTGGCCCCACAGAGCTGAGAGAGTATGGGAAGAGGTGGGGGCTGGGAAGCCATTCTGCAGACATCAGGGACTCTGCAGATGGGACCATGTGATTCTTGTTGCAGCCTGAGCTGGAAACAGTGACCGCTCTGGACGTCCTCCCTCTAGACAGCCTGGGCTTAGCTTCCCTCCCACCTGACTCTGAAGCTCCCTTCTGTGTGTCCTCCTTATCCAAGGCCACCTCCTTTGTCTTGTAGAATCGTCTTAGGCCGAGTGGCCTTGAGCACTCAGTGGCCAGGCCAAGTTCCTCATCATAGATAGTGAGCTTCCTTGGTTTAGGTTCAAATTTCGGAGCCATGGATCATTCTAGAATGTGGAGTGCAGATTCACAGCAGTTTCTGAGGAGCTTTGCCTACACTGCTATTCCTCAATTGGAGCGGTCACTGGGTGTGTTTTCAGGGGTCGATCAGGAAAAGAGGAAACGTCGTGAACAAGGAGGTCACCTGGTGAAGTGCCAAGATCGTTGGGGCCAGACAGGCTGGCCAATTCTTAAATTCTGGCTCTCTCCCTTACTGGGTATGTGCTTTTATAATCAGAAAAAATAAACCCAGTAATAGTTACTGAAAACAAATAACCCAAAACAGAAAGAACGTGAATTCAGAAGGCTGCTAGCTGA